CCGTTGAGGGGTGAGGGGAGTTAGTTCTGATAATCACCCCAGAATACATGTTCAAGCACAGGTGTTCATTGAGGGGTGATTTTGCTGCTTTATGTGCCTAGGAGGGAGAAGAAGAAAAAGACAAAAGGGGCACCCCTAACTCCCCGGGAGTGGGGGCAGGATGAGATGTTTACTTCAGCCACAGAAAATGGAGTTTTAGCAAGATATTGCCAGCCGTAGCTGGACATTACAAAAATAGAGTTACAAAATGGAGTCACTTACTTCAGTACTACATGAAAATTACAACTGCACATTCCTTGCTTTCACTGATGAAAACTGGTCTATTATGTGCTCAAAGTCATTTATTTCAGTTTCTTCTCTTTTACACAAAGCAGAGCAAGATCACAGAGTCTGCCTTGACCGGTGGAGGCTCTCAAATATGAACGTGTTAGCTCTGGTGGGGTAGTGCCTGAGGCATCTGACTGCTAACCAGAAGGCTGGTGGTTCAAACCCACCGGCCACTCCTCGGAAGGAAGGTTGGGCAATCTACTTCTGTAGTGATACTGCCTTGCAAACCCAAGGAGGGGTCACTATGAGTCGGGATCCAACTCAATAGCAGTGGGTTTTTTTTTTTTTTAATGGTTTTTGTTTAGTTTTAACTTGCTGAATGAGCTCTCATAGCTGGTGATGGAAACTGTGATGGTTAATAGGAACTGCTCAGTGGTGCCCCCCTTCAGGTGGTGCCCAGGGCATGAGCAAGACCTGCCATATCTTTGATATGCCTGTGCCTGTAGATTCCTAGGCTGAATCTTTACAAAAGCAGGTGGTCAGGTCTTTTTTCCTGAGGAGCATCTGGTGGGTTCCAACCGCTGACCTTTTGGTTAGCAGCTAAGCTCTTAACCATTGTGTCACCAGGGCTCCTTATGTTTAACATTAAGCATTAAAAATAAAAGGGGAAACTAGGAAATCCAATTTTTAAAGGGAATTCTTGGGATCTTCTGTCTAACATCCGATTCCAGTTCACATTCCCTTGGAAATAAGGTGATGCCATGCAGCATAACCCTTGGTTTCTTTCTAGCTGTGTTTTTATGGAGACTCTCCTAAGAAGCAATGTAACAAGAACAGTGCTCTTTATCCCCACTCCTAGAAACTATCAGTGTGGTTTTTGGGTACTAGAGACCTGGGTTTGAATCCTAGTTTTGCTATTTTCTGGTGGCCATAACCTTTCTGAGTCTTACTACCTTCCAAATGAGGTAGTTTTATTACCTTCCAAATGAGGGCAACACCATCTGCCTCTAGGGTTATTCTGAGGATTGAATATGGTAATGTATGCAAAACAACCCATTGAGCAACTAACTGTTGGGTTCCTTCTGCTCTAGACTAAAGGTGTCAAGTGGGAGGAGGTTTAGTGCCTTTCCAACTTCAGTTGGTCATGGTCTTGCCTCTTGCCTGGGCTAGTAGGACTGACCAGGCTGCTGGACTAGCTGGTACCTGCTCTGAGAAAGGATGGGTGGAAGGGGGGTGAGGTCTAGGCCAGGAAGCTCTTTATTAGCATCTATGTTTGGTGCCAGAAAGAAAGAATCAGACTGTGTCCAAGAGAATTCCGTGGTAAAACTATCGGTGCCATTCCAGAATGGGTCATGAGAGTACGGGGACCTGAGGAGCCAACATATATAACTAAGAGGGAGTCAGAGGAGCAAGAAAATGAAACAGTGCCTGGAAAGGGCACCAGAGCCTTGTCTGTGTGGAATCTCAATCCTGTAGAAAGCCAGAGCCTCTTGGAGGGTCTCGTACAGAATGCACAGTCACAGCTGCATGATCTGGTTATTGGGGCCTTGAGGATCTCTGAGAATATGTTCTGGCTTAGCTACCATATAAACACTGTGGTTCTGTTCTTCTCTATTTCATCATTTAAGGACAGTTAAGGCCAGTACAATTTGGCCATCCTGAGCACGGCAAGGCTAAGTCACAAGTGCATTCTGCTGCTTAGACTGGGGCAACCGGGGACATCCCAGGGAGTCGTGAAAGTAAGTCAGAAAGAAGAAAAACAGCCAGAGATTGCTAAGCAGAGACAGCAGCTGAAGTCCCCTATCAGATTTCCAGAAGACGTTGTGGGCAATGTGAGACATGGGCCACGACCCAAAGAAGCAGAGCTACAGAGAGAACATCTCTGCAAACAGAAGCCACAGCTGATACGCAGAGGAAGGAAACCCAGTGTGGGGGAGGAGGCAGCCTAGTGCAGCAGTCAAGGGCATGGGACTGGGGGTGAAGCAGCCCCAACTGCTGCTCCATGGACTACAGCAAGTTACTTAGCCTCTTTTAGTTTTCTCCCTTTTAAAAGACAAGTAATATGCACAGGCATGGACAATTCCATGGAAGGACTGCTAATGTACAACCAAACTCCTCATGGGATTTGGTTTCTTGGTTTGTAATATTAGTGTCATGATTTCATGGGACATCTCAGGTAATTGACTTAAAAACGGTTTAGCTTTTCTGTTCTACCTCTTAGTTCATTGTGTAATGCCTGGGGTCTTAAAAGCTTGCAAGCATCCAAAGCACCACAATTGGTCTGTATTTGTCTAGAGCATCAGAGGAAGAGGAGAGTCAGGAATGTTATTAGCTGCCGTGGAGTCTTTTCTGACTTATACAACCCTAAGTACAACAGAACGAAACACTGCCCAGTCCTGCGCCATCCTCACAGTCATTGCTATACAGTCAGGAATAGGAGGAGGAAATGGAATATGTTCCTAGCTGCTTCCATGAATGAATGCCTCCTTTGCTGTGAGACTGGAAGAACTGGATGGTGCCCGGCTACTATTACTGAACATTTTGATCAGACATTCTATAGAAGAATCCTGATCAAAAGGGGGGAAATGTGCCAGAATTTCAAAATCTCACAGAATCCAGACTTTCTGGGACCATTGAGGCTGGATGAATCCCCAAGATTGTTGCCCTGAAATAATTTTTAAATCTTAAACTGAAAATATCCCCTGAAATCTGTAAACCAAACAATAGGTTAGGTCATTTTTAGTAAAGAATGTTTGTAATGCCTAGTATTGAACATTTAGATCTTTTGAAGAATACTGTTTGTATGGGATCAAACTGACAACAGCAACTCGAAAGCTCAGATAGGAATCTTAGGAGTCAGCAAATTCCTGTCAGTGAGGAATGAACAATTCGGAAAAGGAGGGTGAGAATGTTTGCACAACTTCAAGACTACAGTCAGTGCCACTGAGTTGTACATGTAGAAATTGTTGAATTGGTGGATGTTTTGCTGTGTATACTTTCAACAATAATAAAAAAATTTCTCTGGAAGGACACACTGAAAGTGTGTCAGTGGTCACACTTTAAGGTAAGACTGGGCAGAAGGGGAACAGATGGGAGACACACTTTTCACTTTATACCTTTGTATATCCAGCTTGATTTTTGAACCATGTGGATGTGTGTCCTATGAAAAAGAATTTAAAAAATGAACATTTTTATGAAAAGGCAAGTGGCAGTAATTTTTACCTTACAGGATTACACAGGTCTGACAGATGGTAATCACTCATATACATGCGCTGTTATTATTATTAACACAGGGGAGCTGGCTGGGTTATCTACAGTTTTTAGTCCTGAGACACCCAGCAGTCTCCATCACACATCAGACTGCTGCTCTCCATGCACCAGGCTCACCTTATCTACATAATCAATGACATAAGTCCAGCTCCTTCATGCTAGGCTTGCAAATGGGGAAAATGGATCAATGAATACAATTTGCAAATTAGATGATAAAATACAGTAGTTTTCCTTTTAATAAATTTTGGAGAATTATATAAAATTATTCATAATAGCACTTTGTAAAATTTTTTTTCAATTTTTATTTTGACAAAATTTCAAACCTACAAAGAAGCATCAAGAATAATAAAATGAACACTTGTCTATGCTTCGCTTGTATTCACCAACTGATAACATTTTGCCATATGTATGTTCTCTCTTTCATACATACACACACATACCTACATATGTATTTGTCTGAACCATTTGAATGTTAGTTGCATATATGATACTTTAATCCCTATGTGCTTTAGCACATGTCTCCTGAATACAAGGACTTTCCCTGCTTAACCACAACACAATGATCACACCCAGGGAATTGAACTATCACCAAGGCTTTTATCTAATGTACCAGATTCCCCCATGTCCCAGGAGTCTCCTTTGTAGCTGTTTCCTTTCTGACCCAGGATCCTATTGAGGATCTCACACTGCATTGGTTATCAAGTCTCTTTTAGTCTAGAACATTTGCCCAGCCTTGTTTTGTCTGTCATGATATGTTTGAAAAGTTTAGGTCAAGTTTCCCTCCTGCCTTCTACCAATAAATGCCCTTCAATTTGTATCTGTCTGACTGTTTCCCCATGATTAGACTCAGGTTAAAGATTTTTGGGCAAGAATACTACAGTAGGTGATGTTCCAAAACTATCATCTAGAAATGTACTTTTTTTTTTTTTTTTTAATTGCATTTTTTGTTCTTTAATTTTTCCTCACAGTCTGTCCCTGGGACCAACAAAGAAAGTTTCCATCCATATATAAACCTTTCCTTGACTTTTTATAACAGTGGAGGAATACAATATGTGTCCTTCTGTGATTGACTTATTTCACTCAGCAAAAGGTACTCCAGGCGCTCTGGTGGCATCGTGCCTGAGGCATCTGACTACTAACCAGAGGGCTGGTGGTTCGAACCCACCAGCTACTCCTCGGAAGCAAGATTGGGCAGTCTACTTCCATAGAGATACTGCCTTGAAAACCCAAGGAGGGGTCATTATGAGTCAGATCTGACTTGATGGCAGTGAGTTTGGTTTTTTTTGGTTTAATGTCCTCCAAGTTCACCCACATTATGAGGTGTTTCGCAGATTCTAAATTATTCTTTAGTGTTGCACAGTATTCCATTATGTGTATTAATTGCATTTTATCCTTCTCTTGTCAATGTGCGAAGCCAGGAGTAATTTTAAAACATTCTAATAGTCTTATTTTCAAATATCCAGCAGGTCAGTTACTGCTGAGTGACTCTTATCATAACCTCATGACTGAGGCAATGGGCTATTTGTACAGGTCACTTGATTTAAGGGCGACCTACCTGGGAACTTCTCATTCGGCAGTCCATGGAATTCTGAAGTAAGTTTCTGTTTCATGTCTCAAAAAAGAAATGTACTTCTGGTAATTCATGCCCTGTATATGACTTCTTGATAACCTCTGACCTTTCAGTCTTCTCAGGGAAATTGAGCGGATTCGAGGCAGGAGATGTTGGCCTCAAGGCACATGCCAGCAATATTCTAAGGGTTCTAGGAATGGCGGCTCCTTATGGGAGAAACTACTTAAATTAACTTACCACAGCGCTCAGACTTGTAATACAGTGAGCTCTGCATTGAGCCCGAATGCAGACAAGCTACAGAGGGCGAAAGGCATGGACTTGGCACCTCACCCAGTTTCAGAGAAATCAAAACGTATTTCTGGAAAAGGAAAAAAGATCTTGAGACCCATTACTTATACTTCCGCTGAGGAAAAGACCAGACCGAAGGCACAAAATGATGTTGAACTATGGAATGGCCCAGAAAAAGGGCCATCAAAGAAAAAGAAAGACTATTCCTCTAAGATTGTAGCTTTGGGTAAAATGGACGGTGCAGTAAAGCTTTCAAGGCAAAGAGTTCTATCAGCCAAAAGTGAGAGCGGAAAAGGCCACATCACCACAATCTACCAGCACCCACTGCTGGGGCCTCTCAGTACAAATCACCCCCTGGATTCCATATCCGAGCTCATTTCTGAAAAGTGGCTTTTTCACAGCCCACATTGCAATATACCTCCTCAGAAGTATTTTTCGCCGAAAAGATCTCAAATTGAAACAGAACAGTGGAAGTCCCTAAATGATACCAATAAAGAATAAAAATTATCATGGAGTCTTTTATGTCTAAGTTTTTTCTATATGTCTTTTTTTTTAAGACCTTTTGATTGGGTATTTCTTCTAAAACAGTTAGGAGTGGTAATAGTCAAGGTCTGAGGATTTGATTTTTTTAGCCCCTTAAAATATTGTAACTGATTTTAGATAAAAATAATATTTTTTACATTACTCACATTTTGTGTGGTATAGAGCATTGTTGATCTTACAGAGCTCCGTATCTAAAAATATACTGAAGCAATGTTATTAAATTTCTAATTGTGTTACTTTTATATTGCTATAGTTATCTATTTTGTATTTATGAAATAATTTGTTTTGCAAAAATTACAACTGCTCTTGACAAAGTTTATGAAACAGAAATGAGAAAAGATATAATTCGGAATAAAACCATAATATAAGTTTAAAGTATTTGATACCATATGCTTTTTTTTTTTATTATTAGGATTTGGGTGAAGATTTACAGAGTAAATTCACTTTTCATACAGCAGTTCACATATACTTTGTCTCATGTCATTGA